AATACGAACTTTTAAATTTTTGACAACATCATAATTGTAAATAATATATTTTGATTTAATATAAATATTTCGGTCATTATGATTTACACGTTGACTGCACCTTGCGTTGCACGAGAAAAGAATATGGCGACAAATGGTACCTTCAGGATTGCAATAACTTTATTTATATGTGAAATATTTCATTTTTTATTAACATTAATTAATTATCTCGAAAATAACAAAAAAGAACATCTCAATATTTTTTGTGGTGAAAATACACATTTTTTGCTTTCAAAAAAAAATAAATAAAAAAAATAAAAAGGACAGAACTTAAAAAAAAATTCGAAAAAATGGTTAATTTAAAAAAAAGGATCAAAATTTGAATTTTTGAAAATTTTTTGCACCATTTGAAAGAGCAGGAAAAAACCTTTCGAAAACATATTGGACAAATTTTTCTTCTTCTTTCTGTTTAAAAGTTACAAGTATTCAAATATTGACTGTTTAAATTTTTCAAAAAATTTAATCCCCTCTCACTTCGAGAGTTTTTGAAAAAACCTAACAATACTTCGTAGTTAAATTACTCACCCCTAGGGCTAAACTATGTGCAAGTTACAGCCCGATCCGATCAAATTTTTTTTCACTTAGTTCGCTACAGAAATTTTACCCCATATATATATATATATATATATTAGAAAAATTTAACAACAGAAGTAGAGACAAATAGAATAGAATGAGAAAAAGCTTTAAATTATTTTTCAATCATCAGAGAATAAATATAAAAATTTACAAGTTTTTGACACAAATGCAAAATAATTTATACTTTGTTCAGCACAGTCATCTTAGCTTAAAACAACTTGAAAATATTCTTACCTTAAAATGCGAACTTTATAATTTCTGCCAACATCATAATTGTAAATATTATATTTTGATTTAATATAAATATTCCGGTCACAATTATTTACACGTTGACTGCAGCTTGCGTTGCACGAGAAAATAATATGGCGTCGGCAACGAGACTGCGCATGTGTACTACTGGTACAACATATCGGTATTGTACTAGTGTGTGAAAATTTCTCAACTGGGCCACCTAAAACTGCCTTTTCAAATATAAAATATTTTTTTTCATAATTTATTGCAGGAAGTCGACTTGAAAACATTCCTGAAATGCGTTTTTAAAAAAATTCATTTTTTAATTGTTTATTAACAATTAGAATTATATCTCTTTAAAATGCAATAGAAATTTCAGTTAAACTTCATTGTTTATGCAAAAAAAATTGTTTATTTAATAAACAAATGAATATTTAAACTATTTCTCATATGTTTAGGAAAAAATTTCAAAAACGACATAAATCTACACTTTCTCAACTTTAATTTAAAAAAAAATCTTAGTACCTTTAAAAAATGAGTGAATTACGGGAATTTGAAGAGCGACGTGCAAGCGCTTCAACAGTCACTACTGCCGCGCGCGGCGCGCTACTACTCGTCGAAGCCTATTCTCTGTTATCGAATTATTGACTAGAATACTTGAATATCAAACTTTTTCTTTATTTTATTATTTAACAATCATATAACTTTTCATTACAACTGGTTTCTGAGAATTTTTACAAAAAACGAATATTCATTGAATTATTTTACAAGTAACGGAATTAGTATCTCTAGTGATACTAATTTATACTAATATTAATTTGGCTAAATAAAAATTTGGTTTAGCGAAAATTTAATTAAATAAGAATTTAGTTAAATAAAAATTCGTCTAAATAAAAATTCTTTTAAATAATAATTCGGTGAAATAAAAATTATGTTAAATAAAAATTTTGTTCTACGTTAAATTAATTTTCTAAAATTCAATCTTATTGCATATTGAGCGTCCTAATTAAAATCTTTTCGATAAAATAACAAATTCGTAAAATTAATAATTAATTTATAATAATTTAATTTATAATTTTTTTTATTTCTTATAAATATAAAAACAAATTTAATTTCACGAATTTGTTATTTTATCAAAATGATTTTAATTGGGACGCTCAATGTGTACTAAGTTTGAATTTTAGAAAATTAATTTTTTTTATTTGCAAGAATATCAAGCCCACGGTTTTAAACCATTAAAGGGCACTATAAGAACAAATTTAATTTCACGAATTTGTTATTTTATCAAAAAGATTTTAATTTGGATGCTCAATGTGTACTAAGTTTGAATTTTAGAAAATTAATTTTTTTTAATTTTCAAGAATATCAAGCCCACGGTTTTAAACCATTAAAGGGCACCACATAAAGTACAAAAAAACATACATATGAATGTTTCTTAGAATAGATAGTACATTGAAAATATAGAATTTTAATTTATGAGCGTTACACATAAATGTATCATAAGAAATCAAAATTAACGATGTGGAACAATGTAATTTACAAAGGTCGATTTAAATGAGGTTAATGTAGAGTTGAAAAGATAAATGTTTTTATCATAATGGAGGCACATAAGATAAATAGAATTACACATATTGTAAATTGGAGCACAGAAACCAATGTTCGAGCGTGTCATTGGAAGGAATAAAGGCTGATAATATCTTGTTACTGCTCTTGGAATTTTGAAGCTGATTCAAAATAGTAAACTTGGGCTGTTGACTGAATTGTTATTTAGTTTTAAAAGGAACAGAGATTGGTTTATAAAACGTCGTTCAGCTAATGTAAGAAAACTAAATTCTTTACATAAAGCATAATAATCAGACCCTTGGGGCGAATAAAATCCTTTCACCCTTTGCGGCACACATTTTTCATTCCATTCAAAAATACATATGATCACACCTATAAGGGTTTTTGGGGTCGCTGATTGCGAATCTGAAGTCAGTTTTCAAAAATTAAAAATGGCGGATCCAATATGGCTTATGACTTTTTGAAAACCTAATGCAATTCGCTTGAACCTTGTTCTCGGGGGTTTTTAGGGTCGCTGATTGCGAATCTGAAGTCAGCTTTCAAAAATTTAAAATGTCGGATCCAATATGGCGCACGATTTTTAAAATCTAATTCAATTCGCTTGAAACTTGTTACTCGGGGTTTTTCGAACTGATTTGGTAGCTTTGAAAAAGGCTGATTGTTATAGTTGCTGATTACAAATATCAAGTTTGTTTTTTAAAATTGGAAATGGCGGATCGTAACTAAAATTCCATTTTTAGTTGTGATAAGCGGCGAAACAATTTCTTGCTGGCAATAGGCAGAGTGGAACATTGCAAGTTTTACAAATCCAGGACGTTCGCTTTTGGTCAGCTTTTGTACTACATTGAGCACATATTGGATCCACAGTTTGAATTTTGAAAAACTAACATTGGATTCGTAATCAGCGACCCGAAAACCCCCGAGTAACAAATTTTAAGAAAATTCCGTGGTTTTTTAAATTTTCGGTCGCCACATTGGATCCGCCATTTTGAATTTTTAAAAACAGACTTCAGATTCGTAATCAGCGACCCCAAAAACCTCCGAGTACAAAATATTGGTTCCCTTTTTATCTAAATTTTCGGTAATGAATTTTTTTCCAAAATAATGAGTTTTTGGACAATTATTTATTTATAATTGTTTATAATTTTACGTAAATATTGTTAATTTTATTTTCGTTTCATTCAATAATATGTTCTCATTCACTTTAAAAAAATTAATTAATATTGCTAAAAAAACTTAAAATACAGTAAGAAAAGTTGTAAATAAAATAGGTGGTAATCTGGGTTACTACTGTGCCGCAAAGGGTTAACATAGAACCAAATTTTTCAATAGCAGAATTTTTATTTAACCGAATTTTTATTAAAGCCTAATTTTTATTTAACTAAATTCTTATTTAATTAAATTTTCGCTAAAACAAATTTTTATTTAGCCAAATTAGTATTAGTATAAATTAGTATCACTAGAGGAAATTTTACATTGGAATGTAAAATTTTCTCTAGTGATACTAATTCCGTTACTTGCAAAATAATTCAATGAATATTCGTTTTTTGTAAAAATTCTCAGAAACCAGTTGTAATGATAAGTTATATGATTGTTAAATAATAAAATAAAGAAAAAGTTTGATATTCAAGAATTCTAGTCAATAATTCAATATAACAGAGAGTAGGCTTTGACGCCTAGTAACGCGCCGCGCGCGGCAGTGGCGACTATTCCAGCGCTAGCACGTCGCTCTTCAAATTCGCGTAATTCACTCATCTTTTTAAAGGTACTAAGATTTTTTTTTAAATTAAAGTTCAGAAAGTGTAGATTTATGTCGTTTTTGAAGTTTTTTCTTAAATATATGAGAAATAGTTTAAATATTCATTTGTTTATTAAATAAACAATTTTTTTTGCATAAACAATAAAGGTTAACTAAAATTTCTATTGCATTTCAAAGAGATATAATTTTTCTATATACTCTCCAAATTTTATTAAATTTCATTAACAAGCAACAGAGTAATAGCAAATTTAGTGGAAAGGTAGCAAAATATTCAATTGTTAATAAATAATTAAAAAATGAATTTTTTTAAAAACGCATTTTAGGAATGTTTTTAATTCGACTTCCTGCAATAGATTATGAAAAAAATATTTTAAATTTGAAAATTCAGTTTTAGGTGGCCAAGTTGAGAAATTTTCACCCACTAGTACAATACTAACATGCATGTACATCAATGTTGAGGAGTATGGCGAACTGGTATTGTACTTGTTTTATATACGTACAGAATACTGATCTTCCAAGATTTTTATGGCACAATATACTGTTATTATACTAGTATGTTTATATATTACATTTGAGCTGACATATTGGATTTTGCAAAAGGTCAAATAGTTTTCAAAAGTACATATATATATATATATATATACCCATGTGCAAAAATTGACGGAAAAATTCCGGAAATGACTTCTGAAAAATAATTATTTTTCGGGTATGAACAATAATTTTGAAAGCTCTAAATTATTCAGGGAAGGGTGGCCCGTCTGGCGCGAAGCGTCCCATATAAAATTTGCTTATTCATTTTTCTTTTAACTAAATAAAATATTTTTTTTACAAGGTGCTGGTGAATTAGAATTTGAAGAATTCTGTACTCTGGCAGCTAAGTTCATGGAAGAAGATCAAGATGAACAAGCAACAGTAGCTGAATTGAAGGAAGCTTTTAGACTTTATGACAGAGAAGGAAATGGTTACATAAGTACAGAGGTTTTCCGAGAAATCCTTCACGAATTAGATGAAAATTTGTCTCCTGAAGAATTAGACATGATGATAGAGGAAATAGATGCTGATGGATCTGGAACTCTTGATTTTGATGGTAAAATAATTATTATTTATGTTAGAGTATATGTGATAATACTGGTCGACGGAAGTTACTTTTTATTCAACCATTTGATTATACTTGTCTTATAGGTTTTTATTACTAAAAACGCATTTGATCTTAAAAATTTTTGCCCGTTTTTAATCAAATATACTAGATAAAGTTTACGTACCGTTTGGTGCAAGCAACAAAATGCCCTATTATGGCAAGCTTGCTGCAAGTCTTCGTGTTGATTGGGCCCTGAACCAAACCAACATTTTTATGTAGTATAATTATTTTCAGTAGCATAATTGAAGGTTATAATTTAGTTATATACAACTGTTTAGTCTATAAACCCGATTTATTACATTATTAACACGCTGCCATGATGAGACACATACAGCTGTTTACGAATTTACGTTGTCTGCGCAAACGCAGTCGTGGAAACTTAGCATTCTTAAGTTGATAAGAAATATTTGTTTGATTCAAAGAAATTTTTCTTGCGGTTAAAAAAACCATTCAAAGAAAAAATTATGTTAATTCAAAACATTTTAAAATTTTATTTTCGTAAATGCAAAGACAAATTTTTTCGAATGAAACAAAATTTCATTTTTGATTCAAAAGAAACTATTTTTTTGTTTAAAAAAATATTTTTTCTGGGTGCAGTTTAAAGTGTTTATATACATGTTTGTTAACGATGTTAAATAAAATATAAGTTGGGAATGTGAAAATATTTAATTAATTAAGTAAATAAATAATTAAAAATTCTTGTAATATTTCAAATTTTTTTGCAAAATTAATTTTAAAAATATAGTTATGAATAATATAAACTATAATAATTATTTTAAATAAAAAATAAATTGGTTTTTCATTGTATACCTCGCAAGAGGTCTTTACAATTTCCTTCCAACATATTTCAACTTTCCATTCTGCAGTTCTGTTTTGAAACACAATGTGTTTTCAAATCAGAACTGCAGAATGGCTAACAACACTTTAAAAAATCACTTCTTTTGCGGCTGCAGGACGTCTTGAATTAGAAGTACTCTCATTCGCCAAGACTTTTGGTCAAAGGAGAAGGAAAACTGCATGTCGAGTCATAAATGAACATTTGAATAGTTATCCAAATGCACAAACATGTCCTCGACATCAAACCTCCCCTAGATATATCTCAATCACAATTATCAAATTTTCAAAATTCAAAATGGCGGATATAAAGTAAAAAATTAATAAGTTTTTAAAAATTTGATCGAAAAACCCCACATACCAAGTTTTGTAAAATATTAATCATTTTTAAAAGAAATCTTGTCACTTTTAATTTAGGGGTTGTTTTCACACCTAAAAACTACAAACGACTTGATCTAGCAAAATGGCCAGACACGGGTATTTTTTTGGGTCCTAATTTCCGAAAATGTTGGATTTTTTTGTGGGTAAAAAAAGTTGAATTTTGTTGGACGGTGTAATAGTTTATATATTCTAAGTAGCATTAATTATTATTTGTATCCATTAACTTTTTTATAATAAAAATATGGGTGTAATAATCTTGAAAAGGCTTATCAGGTTGAAATTTCCACAAGAAATAAATGTGCACTGCAATACTGGCTAGCAGTACTGATCCCAGGGGAAAAAAACCATGTTCGTTTCAAAAACATTCTTAAAACGTTTTTAGAATGTTTCATAAAACATGTTCTAGAACATTATTTGTACATCCATGTTTTTAAAATATTTTAGAACATTATTTGGCGGACATGAAACTTTCTTAAAACGTTTTTAGACCGAACATAATTTTTTGCCCACTGGGAAGCCATTATTATTATTATTTCAAAACGGTAAAAGAACACTGTTACAGAATTGTAACATCACAAACCCTTTAACTCCAATTTATAAATAATTGTTACATCACTGTGTCACGGAAATAGAACACAGTTCCTCCTGTCTCTAGTCTTTTTGTGCAGTTTATATTATAACTAAAAATCTAAAAACATATCTTAAAGATATTTCTTTAATTATCATTTTTCTTTCTGATTTCAGAATTCATTGATGCTATGACAAAATGAAGGACGATATTATATATATTCTAATTTTATATGTAAATATAAAATCTGCGAAAATTCATGAAGACATCTTTGAAGATTGTCAGTTATAAATACATACATAACAATATTTTTGTTTGAATTTATTTAACTTAAAAATAAAGAATGTAAATATCAAAACGCGTCAAAATAAAAATTCAATCATTTCAAAAAACTAACGTTTCGACTTATTTCGCTAGACGGATTCTGAGCAAGACTTAAAATTTTTTTTTAATTTGCCATCGATCCTTTACCAAAAAATTGTTTGTTTGCAGACGAGACAGAAAATCTACGAAACCTAAAGAAAGTTTTAGTTTTCTACTTTTATCTCTAAATATAAAGGGTAAACCTAATACAAGAGAACCTGGTGCAATTCCTTGTAAATGAAAAAAATTAGTTACTGTTTGCACAGTTGTACATGGTACGTTTTTAAAGTTTTCTTTTAAAAGTAATAAATTATTTGTTTATTTTGTACATTTGCGTTTTGTATGTATATAGTATAAATATAATATATAAATGAAAATTCATGATTATTATTTTATTAATTAAAAAATTTATCATATTTCTTGAAAACATTAAAATTTATAAATAATGTTTATTATAGGAGAGACCGGAGCTACATGTTAAACTGTCAAAACCATTTAACTTCTGTTTCGCTCAAACGGAAGTAGTTACAGGGGTACTTTTTTGGATTTTATTTGCATATCCTTATTAAATTAAGTATTTTAGTTAATTTGGGTTCGCTGAAAATGAATCTGAAACTATTTTTTAAATATTTTTAGTCAAATTTTGTGTAGCTTTTGTCCAAGCCAAAAACACACCGTGGAGACAAATGTTAACAAATTGGCGGGGCTAAATATTAAATGTCATTTCTTCACTATATTTACATTTCTGATATGTTTTGGTTGCCTTTCGAGTTTAATGTTTAGCAAATTGTAATTTTAACGCACTCTGAAGAAAGACACCTTAGGTCATGTCCACATTAAAAACTTTCACGAAAGGTGCGAGCAAAATACACGTACTTTTGCGCCCTTGCCACACATTCTATTTTCTATAACGTTTGCGTTAAAAACTAGACGCAAAGTGTCAAGTAGACGAATATCGTGAATAACGTGGGCAACCTGGGGGACATTACACTTTTTTTTGTGGGGCTGTGTAATTAATCTTAAGCAATTATTTCTTTTTGGTTAATTTTCTACTTTGGAACGTAAACTGAACAGTAATATCGTAGAACAATAGTAATTCTTAAAAATAGAACAATAACACAGCCCAGCATGGGTTTTGCAAATAAGATGGCTCCAGGTGTTTCCGAAGGGATTTTGCGCGCTGAACTCGAATCTGGGTTCAAAAACTTTCCATCACGGCAGGTTTTCGACAAAAAGGGGGTCGAAACCCTTAAAAATAGCGTTCTTGGCCATTTTTGGAAAATTGTAGAGCTGAGCACTGACGTGCTATTGTCAGAAATTGACAATAGATCTTTGCTCTTTAAAATGAGCCCAAAGCTAAATTGATAGCATTCACCCTTAAAGTAGGGGGTGGGTTTATGTCAAGGGGTGCAAGAGAAAAAGAAACACATTACTGTAATCTGATCTGATCTGTAATTAGCGACCCCAAAAACCACTGAGTAACCATTTTCAAGTAAATCTGATTAATTTTTAAGGACCTCCGTAATGTGTTTCTTTTTCTCTTGCACCCCTTGACATAAACCCACCCCCTGCTTTAAGGGTGAATGCTATCAATTTAGCTTTGGGCTCATTTTAAAGAGCAAAGATCTATTGTCAATTTCTGACAATAGCGATGGTTTTAGTACGTCAGTGCTCAGCTCTACAATTTTTCAAAAATGGCCAAAAACGCTATTTTTAAGGGTTTCATCCCCCTTTTTCTTGAAAACCTGACGTCATAGCAAGATTTTGAACCCAAATTTGTGTTCAGCGCGCAAAAAGCCTTCGGAAACACCTGGAGCCATCTTATATGCACAAAAAAAGTCCAAATTTGAGGGCTGTGTAATTAATCTTCAGAAATTATTTATTTTTGGTTAATTTTGTACTTTGAAACGTAAACTGAAATGCAAAATATCAATCTTTTTTTTAGTTTTGCTGACAATATCAATCGTTTTTTTTATTTTCGCCGATAATATTTATTGTAATATTTTGCCAATTCGAAATGTGAAGAATATCCGATTTGGGAAGATTTATAGTAGATGAGCTTGAATTTGAGGTTGATTTATTTCGTCCATCCAAATTTTCATTGTGCGAAGGATTTAAGATTAAATCAGAAATCAATTTGCTGATTTTCCTTTTACACTGAAAGGAATCATCAATGTAGCCTTCAGCTACTTGATTGGACTTCCATCCAGCGTGCTGTTTAAGTGTTGTCCATGAGGCTCCAGCATCGGCAAGGAGGGTAGCGGAAGTTCTCCTAAAACAGTGTCCTGTGTAAAGTTGAGCATAATTTTTTACGATGTGATACAATTGCCCTTCGACAACAAACGTCCGCTTGATATTCGTTTTCGTCTTGGGAAGTGTAATTGAATAGCGAGATCCATTGTCAGCAATATCGTCCTACTTCATATTGTACAGCTCTTCTCGTCGGCATGCTCCTTCTAATCCACGTATTAAAGCTACCTGTAATTACAATTGTAAATGTAAATATTTTTGTGCACTTTATTGATGCATAATTTGTAATTATAGTGTTAAAGACGGAAGTTAATTAACAAAAGAAAATAAAATAGATAGTTTGACGAGAAAATAATAGTTAGAAATAATACTAATTTTTATTATTCACAATTCCGCTTATTTGGAAAGCGTAAATTGCTCTTCGCTAACAAAGTTAGATTAAGGTAGTGGACTGTCACTTAGAAAATTATTTATTCAATAAACCCAGATAGACGGTATTTTAGTGAAAGTGATCAAAAAGCGAGATATAATATAGACATCAAAAAGGTGATTCAATAAATAGAAACGTAATTATCACGACAAAAAAAATCTGTTTATTCATTCAACCCCCAAAGTGTTTACATTCAATTCCCCAATTGATTTTTAATAAAAATGTTTACAATTAAAACGGCTATTACGTTAAGCTACTTGAATTAGCAATTCAAGTCTCACAAAAAAATCATTTATTGCAAGCACAATAAAGAGATCAATAATAAAAGAAAGATTTTAACAACAAGAAAATAATTCGTGTATTTGAAGTAAGTGTGATAGTGTTTGTTTTATGAAATTCTGTAATTTTCAGATAGTGTATATAAATTCAGAGAAACTCACCTAAATAATAATAATTAAAATGATACAGAAAAGTATCAAATTACTTTTCTAACTCTTAGGAGTTTAAAAACTCTTGTCTGTCATACGACTCTGAGGTATGCGGAAGTCGTTCTTTTTACCTTCCTTTAATTTACATCTTTTCTGATGACAAACTTGTATTATTTATTGTCTTTGAACAATTATTTCAATATTTCAAATTCTGTTTATTAAAAATTCAGAATGTTGGGTTCACCAAACCTGAATTTTTAAACAATTAAGTTGAGATATAAACAATTGTGTTGATAATAAATACTTTCAAAAATAAGAAACGATTCTGCACTTTTTACATTTATAACACTTTGTACTTGATAAAATAATCTTCCTTTTTCAATGAACTTTTTATATGATAGTTGACTTCACAAATTGTGGAATATACACTTTATGATTTTAGATAACTTGACAATTTCAACCCTTACTGCGGGGAATAAACAATAAACTCAACCACTCTCAGTGGAAGTAAAACTTAATAATCATCCGCCTTTTTGCGGGAAACACATCCGCTCCGCAGGAAAAACAAATTAAGACTCCTCCAAGAATATTTCGGTGGCAACGATCACACCATGTTTGTATCGGTTCAACCACCTGAGTTACCTTTGTAATTTATATATATTTCCTAATTTTCCAGACTAATGTGGCAACTTCTATACATTGTAAGTCCCACAATTAACGAAATCGATCCACAATTTAGTTCGTGTTATTTCGCAATATGAAGTTCAATAATCTCAAATCATTTGCGAAATAACTATTGATTTCAAAATTAAAATAAATGAAAAATAAAATTATAAATAGTTATTAAATTAATTTGAAATATTATTTGAATATTTTAATATCAGAAAATTTATATGTGTGTGTGTTGTGTATGTTGTTGATGAACAATTGACAACATTTTTGTAGTATTAATTAACAAATATTATTTTCAATAAATAATATTTAACAAAAAAAAATTAAAAATTTACGGAATTCTGTCCGTAACATATAGTATTTTAAAAAATTAAAATTTGTAAATATAATTGCAAATAATTATTTTGATTTAGGGTAAAAGTAAAAATTTGTAAATAAAGTATTTTAAATAATTAAAATTTTTAAATATAATTGTAAATAACACAGCCCTACAAAAAAAAGTGTTATGTACTTTTGACCGGAATACCCTATCCCTATGTATTTTGCGCGCTGAACACGAATCCGAAGTCCGTTTTGCTCCATCACGTCAGGATTTTTTTTAACCTCAAAAAACATGTCGGATTTTGAGAGATAGGCGATTTTTTAAAAAATTAATTTATTCACTTTAAACTTGGTATCTAGATTTTTTGGGTCGCTGATTACGAATCTGACGTCAGATTTTCGAAATTCGATATGTCTGATTCAATATTAAGGAATTCTTTAAAAAAAATTGGCCGATTATTATGAAATTTGGTATCTACAGGTTTTCTAAGTTGCTGACAAGTATCACTAGGGAAGTGCCATACGCCGATTTTTCTGAAACTTGTCAGTTTTGTAGTTTTTTGAAAACAATTTGACACGTATGTTTTGTTTTTCCCCAAAAGCTGATTTATGGGGGGGAACTACCCCTTGAATTTTTTTGGTAGGGGGACATTATTTTACGAAATTTTTTAAAAATTTATGAGCAATAGTGTATCTGGGGTTTTTTTGGGTCGCTGATTACGAATCTGATGTCAGTTTTCAAAAATTGAAAATGGCGTATCTAATATGACCGATAGAAATCCATGTTAGATATGATATTTTGAATTTTTGAAATCTGACATCAGATTCGTAATCTGCGACCCAAAAAACTCCTAGTTACACTATTGAACATTAATTTTAAAAAATTTTTGTAAAATAATGTCCCTCTCCCAAAAAAAATCAAGGGGTA